TCATTACCCCCTCCCTGGGCCATTGCCAAGCTCAGCGGATTCTCCTCCAGTGCATCTGGACTGCAGTTCACCCACTCCCTCCTGCCCACCGGTGCTCTCTTCCACATGGTTGCTCTCTCTTGTCTGCATTTTGGTGACAGCCTGCTCACCAGTCTCTCAACAAGTCCCTCTCTATCCTGAGACAGAGGGAGTGCTCTGAAATGCATTACCCATTCCTGCATTCCTTTGCTAAATAGCTCCCTACTGCTTTAAGACAAAACCTACAGACACCCTGGCCTGGAGGGTCTGGCTTGATCCAGCCCCTTCCTTGTCTCACCATCCCTCACACTTCCCCTAGTGGCACAGTGTGGTCTGTGGTCCCCTCAGGTTCTCCTCTGGGAATGCCCCAAGCCTTCTGTTCCCTGCCTCTCTGCACAGCCTCTGGGACTCAGCACAGATGTCACCACTCTGAGGCTCTTCCTTGAGCCTAAGGTGTATTAAGGGTCTGTCTTTTGCTTCCTTCCTTTTGTAGCCTCCCCCACCTGGTCCTCTCAGTTTCCTCGCCTCCCACTCAACCTTGAGCTTCTTGAGACGGAGATAGTGTTTCTTTGTGGCTCTATCTCTGGTGCCCAGTGTGGTGTCTGGCACAGTGGGCACTCAGTATATGCAGGAAGGAAACATGATGGTGTCACAGGGTTATTTCCTACCTTTGCAGGTGATTGAGCTCCCTCTTTTGGTATATTGGTATTTCAGAAGTTTTGTGCCACATCCACGTTTTACTAGCCGGATATAGCAGCAATCATGCTTGACACAGCACCTGGTAGGAAGATATCCTGTTGGGGCTGCCTTCTCACAGCTTTAGGGGTCCTGGTGTCTCATCATTCCCCTTGCCGTGATTGGACAGAAACTCTGTGACCTGGAATAGTCAAGAGCAGAGTCCTCAACTTGGTGGTTGCTTTTCCATCAGGGACCTCCTGGGAACTTTGAGCCACTGGGCATCAGCTCTGTCCTTACAACTCCTAACCCTGGCAGGGCCAGAAATGAGGAGAGGGCAAGGAAGGCTGGGATAACCTCACCGATCTGTTGCATCCTTGGGGGTTCCTTTGCCACCCACACCACAGTGACAGCCGTAGGCGCCATAACTTGTAAGTGCATTCTTTTTTGTCTTGAGTGTGATCATATCTGCAAACTGTGTAAAATGTCCATGGACCTGTGGCAAGCCTGGAAGGAAAGTACCTGTAGATGAGGTGTGGAGCCCTTCTCTTTGCCTCTCTCCTTCCCTACAAGGGTCATCTCTGCTCTTCCCACTGAGGGAAGACTGCTTCAATGGGAAGGAAAACTAGAGGTTGGGTGTTTACCCCACTGTGCTGCTCCCCCTGTTCCCAGAGTCAGGGTCAGCTCTTACCAGAGACCATGGCCAGCAGCAGCAGCAGGAGGGGCTTCATGCTGAGAACTCTATGAAGGACAGGTTTACATTCATTGGCCTGCACCCCTCTCCTAGTTGGTCCCAGCTTCTGTCCTGGTGCCTATCCTGCACCCAACTCTACCCTGGAGCACATAGAAGTGACTTTCATCCAGGCCACATCTAGCCAGAGCACCTCTGTCACACACTAAGACATATAGAGTGACCTGCAACAACCTACAGATGTGCCTACCACCTCCTGACCCTTTCCAGTTCTGTGGAATGGTATCACACATATGCAGGCCTCAGACCCCTGGAGATGCCACATGATATAGCCTCCCTGGCTCCCCATCAGCCCAAGAATCCCTCGGAGGGTGGAAGTGAGTTCATCCCACAAAACTAGGAGCTTCCTGAGGTCAGAGGACATGTCCTTCTATTCCCCTTTAGACATATCTTAACCTGTCACTGCACTGTATTTAAGTCCTGGAAATTTCATCAATGGAGTCTGGTCCCTAATATTTTTCTCCTGAAATAAAGCAGCACCTTCTCTTTGCAAGCTTTTCCAACCCCATGCCATATGCAAGTGTACACACACACACACACACACACACACACACA